TGTAATAAATTATGACCCTATTGATTACGTGAATTATTTTATTATTTGATACTATTATACATTTATTTATAACTTACAATTAGATATGTAATTATTTTGATGATGCATGTGCAATTGTTCAAGAATTGGAAAATTTAACACCAGAGTGTGAAAATATTAGTATTAAAGTTCGATTAATTAGATTGTTGGATGTGTGAAATCCAAAATCTAACATAAGAGTTTTGAAGATGTTGTTCATTGATAGTAATGTAAGTATATATATATATATATAAATATAACTACATTCCATAGTTACATATCTATAGTTTAGATAATGTTTTTTTATTCTCGTAATTTACATTTGTTCGTTATGACAATTTTGACTGCAAGGTTTTTCATGCAAGGCTTAGTTCATGGGATTAATTTAGACCGATTCAGATCATGTCTTACAGAAGAGGCTATCTATAACATTCATAACGCACAAGTGATAATAGCAGATAAAATACACAGATTAGCACCTCATTGTTACCAATTAATATTGCGGCATAATATAACCATCGAAGATTCACATGATTCTGACGAGAATTTTTCGCGAGAATTCCACAATATTGTCCCTCTGAATGAATTGCATTGTCATGTGAATAGGGAAGATCAACTAATTGGTATATTGAGCTATAAGTATAGATATATAATAATTTAACCAACTAATTGGTATATTGAACTATAAGTATAGGCATATAATGATATACCAATCTTAAATTTATATTTATTTTAATAAATTTTTGTGCAGATGTATTCAGATTGGTTGTTTACGTGAATGATTGGTATTTATCCGAGAATGACTATCCGATTAGTATTATGTGATATAAAGACAATAACATTTGTGTAAAATATGGTAAGTTGTAAAGGTATTTGTAATGTTACGTAGATAGTATAGTTACAAAAAAAATGAAATAGATACTTTGTTATAAGACGAATCAAAATAAAAAAATAGATAGTTTATTAAGGGACATGGGGAATATTATATTATCAACATTCAAACAATTATTTACAAAATACTGCTTTTATAATTATTTATTCAAATATAAAATCAAAGTGCTACTTTTGGCTTGGACTTTAGCTTTACTTTTGATTTTTGCTTATTTTTTAAATTAATCCAAATGACTTGAACAACTTTAATTTCTAGCGGATCTTTTCAATTTATTTTTAGGGAAAAAATCAATTTTGGTCCCAATATAAAAATTCATCAATTTTGGTCCTAATATAATCAAAATTTATCAATTTTGGTCTCAATATAATAAACTCATCAATTTTAGTTCCAATATAAATAATTTCAATCAATTTTGGTCAAATTATAAACAATTTTAATCAATTTTGGTCTCACCCTTAAAAAAACTAACGGAAATTGTTGACGTGGACATGACGGAGGTGACGTGTGTAATACCCCGATTTTGGAGTGTATAAAATAATATTATTATAGCAAATAAATATTTTTATAATATTTTAGGATCAAGAAATTAATATTTTGAAATAAATTTTATTTCTATTTTATATATTAATTATGTTTAAAAAAAACTGTTAAATAAATAAATATCGATAAAAATAAATATAAAATATAATATATATATATATATATAATAATATAATAATAATAAAGCTAACGATGATGAAGATAATATTTATAATAATAATACCGTTAATAATAATAATAATATATATAATAATAATATAATTATATATATAAGAAACCACATTTTACCTGTGAAGAAAAAGAAGCAGACGTCCATTGCGGAAAGGAAAGAGGAGAAAGAAGGAAGAAGAAGAAAAGAACAAAGAAAAAAGTTTAGCTGTTCGATTTCGATTCTGACTTCGGTATTATATTCATTGTTATACGTAGAATTTAATTATGGATTTTAATATGAATTTAGATATTGAAGATATTAAATTAGAAATTCTTCAAAAATTCATAACCGGCTATTTGGCTATTTAATCGACTAAATTCTTTAGCTAATAGCCTATTCGTAGTCCTAGCATTATATTATGTGAATTTCGTATCGATTCGAGCCGAATTAAAAACGGCAGTGTATTGCATCTGTCTGTTTATTCATATCTTTAAGTATTTTTATTTAATAGTCGAGCGATATAAATAGTAGGAGATATAAGAGTTTTATAGTTAGAATATCGTATTCTACTAAATATAAAAGTTTGAAACCCAACGAGTTAATTATAGAAATTAGCTTTTGAATAAGCAGGTAACTCATATGAATAAACATATAGCTCAGCTGATTTGAGTAAATAATGAGATAGGAGTACATTGGAGGAGATTTGGGTGAGATTGCAAAAGCTGGAGTGTTGATAAGAGGTAAGCAGTAGAGAATTAAATCTAATTTTAAGAAATTAGGTATGCATGTTGCATGCAATTTTGATTAATATGTTAATGTGATATTATGTGAATCATTTTGTTGCATGTATATATTTATATATATATATATGTGTGCGTATGCATGTGAGAGACTTCACGGTTTATGATATTTGATATACGTATTTGATCGCGTTGGTGAATTTATGAAAAGGAGGATAGGTGAGCTGTCTCACCAGCCATTTTCGGTAAATTCACTTATTTGGCATGTTGCACACATATTGCACAGTTTATCGGATATGTTTTATGGATCTATCGTTTAATCGTTGTGTGCGGTAGTGCTAGGCGAGGGCATAATCTGGGGTTAGGATATTCGACCCTGATGTACCGTAACACTTTGGCGATAGTGGACGATAGTAGTTAGACAACTGGGTGACTTAGTCGCACGGTCATTCAGGGATTAGACCCATTGTAGTTGAGACGTATTTGGTCTAACCATTCGTGTTTGGTGTTGTTCCACTCATTGGACTGATCACTAGTGAGGTCTACCGGTAGTTTAGGATCATATGCCAAACTCCAAATGCGATCCCGTTAGGGCGCGCGAGGAGGAGTAGAGTTTCCGGGTTTCCCTTGGGTGATTCCAGGTTGCACGGATTCTACTACATTACACGGGATAGGGCTAGTCAGTGGGGGTCCTATCTTCGCCATCACAGACTATGGGGCGTCTTGTGGTTAATGGCGACAACGTTCCGCTATCCATGTATTGATTGTGGGAGTCGCATGGTGGGTATATGGGAGTGACCGGATGACCGTTATATTATTATAGGTTTATCAGGTCCTTCCTTGAGCCGAGGATTTTCCGGCTATTTATTGCGATGGTCTAGTGAGCTTGTTATTGCGGGGCCGAGGGTATTCCAGCTGCTCACTTAGACAGATGCAGTGAGCCTATTATTATGGAGTCGAGGTTATTCCGGTTGCTCACTTCGGCGGATGTATATATATATATGTGCATGTGCATTGTTTCGAGTTTGATATCTTTGTTGCATCATTTCACTATTGGCATGGCATGACACGTATTTTAGGATTGACGGGAATTAGACTTTATTTTAAAAAGGTATGATATGGCATATTTCATGTTAGTTCTTAAAATGAATTTAATTCTAGACTGCTTTTAAGAAAATATTTGTTTCAGGTATGCATGGCACATCCGAGACAGGGGACGTCTCGGGATATAGAAAGACGGGCTGAGTAAGTGAACTTACATCTATTGTATTATATGTAAATTTTTAATCGGAAAAACCTCTTGTTAAGGAGTGTGTTTTGTAAATATTCATAAATCAGATTTTGTTATATAATAATGCGCTTTTATGGTTAATTTTTAGCCTTAACACTGTATTGTGGGGCCCGAAGTAGAAGGTGACGACCTCGTGATGCAATGTGGCGGTAGCATTTCTAATATGGGCCAACTGGGGGTGTTACAACATGGCAGTTGACCTGAAAAGTACACGGCCATTACATTTCTATTTTAGTTTAAAATTTTATTTTTTTGTTATATATTTTTTTAAAAAAAAAATTATTTTGAATTTAAAATAGTTGATATAGTTAAAATAGACAAAATCAGTAGTAATTATAATATAATTAAAATTTATCAATTTTAATTCAAATATAAAAATTTATAAGATATATTCTTTTGAAAGGTTTTGTCTAAAATTTTATTATTTATAAAAAAATTTCTCTTACAAACATCCAATTACATAACTATTTTTTTATTTTGTATATTATAGTAGTATTAAAAATTAATTTATTATTTCAATACATTAATTGGATGTTTGTAAAAGAATTTTTTTTTGCTAAATAGTAGAATTTTAGACAAAATCTTCCAAAAGAACGTACTTGATAAATACTTATATTTGAACTAAAATTGATATATTTTAAATATATTATGATTAATATTGATTTTTTTTTCCATTTTAACTATATCAACTATTCTAAATTAAAAAAAAAAAAATTAAAAAATATGACAAAAAAATTAAAGTTTTAGATCGAAATAAAAAGGTACACGGCCGTGTAGAATTATACATGGCCGTGTAACAACATGATCATGTATAATTTTATACACTGAAATATACATGGACATGTAACAATATGACCGTGTAAAATTGTACATGGCCGTGTAGCAACATGACCATGTATAATTATACACTGAAATATACATGGCTATGTAACAACACGTGTATAATTGTACATGGCCGTGTACTTTCTAGGTCAACTGCCACGTCACTTCCGTCATTTCCACGTCAGCAATTTCCGTTAGTTTTTAATGGTGAGACCAAAATTGATTAAAATTGTTTATAATGGAACCAAAATTGATTGAAATTGTTTATATTGGGACTAAAATTGATGAGTTTTTTATATTGTGACCAAAATTGATAAATTTTGGTTATATTGAAATCAAATTGATGAATTTTTTTTTTTTTATATTTGAATCAAAAATTAATAAATTTTAATTATATTGAATCCAAAATTATTTTTTTTCCGTGAAAAAATTAAAATTGGAGCTCCTCAGACCCACTTTCATTTGGCCCAACAGTTAAAGTGGGCCCGAGTTTGTAGCTGTTATTTTTATTTATTTATTTTTTTGTAGATTACGCAATACAATACATCGTCGTTATTTCGTTCTTGCCCTCCTCCCCTCTGCTGTGCTGTACTGCTGCATCTGAGAATCCCGCGACCAAATTTGCTTGACCCGATCCAGATCGGATTTCGGATCGACCCGTTTAACCGCTCGTAATTACCCCTCGCATCGCGCCATCCGTTGCCGGATCTTTTGGGAAGTTGACGGCAGCTTCTTCATTTGATTTGATTTGATTTGATTTTTATTTTTTTGTCTGCTTTGGGGAATTTTGTGCGTTTGTTCCCGTTGATTCGGATTGATGGCGACGAGGAACCGGACAATTTTGTATCGCAAGTATAGGGATGCATTGAAGAGCGTTAGGTTGCCGTCGCCTTCCGGCGGCGGTGGAGGAGGTGGGGGTAGAGGCCCGGTGATCGAGCTATCGACGACGTCTTTGCTTAATCCTAATCGGTCTTACGCTCCTCTGAGCACGGAAGATCCAGGAACTTCAAGGTAAGCGATGAGGCATTTCACTGTTATCTAAATAAATGCTACCTTTTTATTTCGTGGATTCAGCTTCGATTGAGTTTTTATAGATGCTTCGGGTATATGCTTGCTTGTGGAACTGACTTTCGGGGGTTCTGCTATGTTTTTCTTAATTTAGGACACAGTTCAGAGGATTGCATATGCGTTTCATATAGAAATCGGACAATCTGTTTTTGCGCAAATACCATTTTTAGGCTTGCATTGCAGCTTTTCTGCTGCAATGGTCAAGTAAGGATGTTCCGTAGAAATAGATTCGAAATGTGCTGTTTTGTTATGTTTGTTTCTGTCAATTGACACAGTTCTAGTCCAAGCTGATATGGGAATTTGGTTAGCTCAAGTAAAAAGTTGTGTGGCACTAAAACATTAGTTATACCATTTTTCAATGCATGGAGAGACCCTGAAAGTTTGTTGCAGTTGCTTCTTCACATACATGTAAAATATTGCATGAGTTTGATTGTTCTTTATCTTCTTCTGTTGAACTTCAAGTATGTTTTGGATTCCATCCTTAGGGACTTAAATGTGTCATGGTTGGAATTTTTCTCTAGAGGAATACAAATGAACTATTTTCTTGAGATGAATTGGGACTATGGTATTATGAAGTTTCTAATTGACACTGCAGGATGAACATGATCTTATTAAATGTGAACTTTTATATCGTGAAAATTGACATTATAGTTGTTTAAATAATTTTATTGCTGGAATGCCTTCACTGCAGGTTAGGATAGCTGATGGTCAGGCAATTGCTTAGTTATATATGGCCTTATGTGTGTATATGTTTATTGATGTATGTATGTACGTATGTATTATGTTAAAATCTGAGGGGCTGTGAGCCTATGCATGCAAGTCCATTCGGTGTTTGGGTACCGTTACCTAAGAGTCTTACTATTGTCTCCTTTTCGTTTAAATATTTATATGAATAATGTAAGAGTAATTAATACCTAAACATGCTTGAATTCTTCTTTTCCTTTGTTTTATTTTATAAAATATAGTTATAGTATCATATAGAAATTGCCAAATTGGGTAGTGTTGTGTTTGATATTAATTTTTAGGGTGTAGATGTTTTCTGGTATATTTGCATGTTGGTCATATTCCATTAGTCCTTGTATTTCTCTAAAATTTCGATGCATGAAGATAATATATATTTAAGGAGGTCAATTATAATTTTTTGATCTTTATTTATTTATTTATTTTTTTCCGAAAATAATGAAGAAGGCAAATCGTTATTAGTTGGTTACATTTTTTTTTTTCTTTTTTTCCCAGTTTTTTACGAATAGCCTTTTACAATATAGATTCATTAATATTTCGCAACATGAAGCATTGATTTTGATTCTGTTGCTAGAAATATGTGGTTTTTCTACTCCCAAGTTCCAACTACAGTGAGTTTGCGATTTCATGCTGCTGACTAAATGTGAGTCCCAACTACTAGTTAGATTCTTTTCCTAATTCAAAAGCTTTAGGGTCTGTTTCAGTGTATTTTGAGTTCATTTGAATTTGACATTATTTTGAATAAAAACTGTGTTTTGGATGTGAGCCTTTTTTTAATTAATTGTACACAATATTTTTTTATTTTGAGAGTAGAAAGTAATTGTACACAATATTTCATTGTAGATTGCATGGTTTGAAAATGGGAATGAGCACAAACAAACATGCTCTTAGCATTTAGGTGTCTTCTTCATACTTTCACCACTATCTTCACCAGCAATTCTTGGAATTAGGTTCAGAATTTGTTAGGCTTCTCTTTAGCTTTCTTCCTTTAATTTGACTTATCATTTGGCTTTATTTTTACAAATTTATTTGCAGTATCACTTAGAACTCGATGAGTTACAACTAGAAGCATAGACGGGTAGATTGTAGTTTAATATGGCTGGGTGCTAAGTTTTGCCTTATTAACTAGAAGTATCAATGCCTCTTTGTACATGGTATGGCATATTTGTGAATATGATTGCCTGTGTTGATTTGGTCTCCAGTCCAAGCATTCTCTTTCACATTATTTATATCATCTTTCTACTTCTTCCCTTGGTAGAGCTGTCAGCAATTCTGCCTACTATTTTATATTATTACATACTGATAAGGTCTTTTAATTAATCAAACTTTTAAAGACCTCCCTTGACACTGATAATCACTAGATCTACCCTTCCCCCTCCCCACCTCCAAACCCAAAAAATATAATAATATATAAGCATATACGTTTGACTTTTGAGCAAAGTCCTCTCCAATTGGAATTGTTGCACAATCCTCTCATATTTGACCAGATAAGTGGAATTTATCTTTTAATGTTCCTTTACTTCTCAATAATGCCCCCTTTGTTTAACTGTGACAATAAATAAATAAATGATCAAAATTTTTTTTAATCAACTTGTGACCTTACACTAAATTGATCGTCCATGCATTCAAAGCTTTTGCTATGAAGTCACGTTTACGATATAGATCTCATCATTTTTTCACTATCTGTCTGAAAACAGAGAAATTGGAGTCTTTCTAAATGCTCCAACAATTAATTTAGACAAAAGACAACATAAATCCTAATTAAATTAAAGGAAAGGAAGACAATGAAAAACAAATAAGAAAAAACAGATGATGTTTCATGTTCATTTACCGTCTATATCATTTTTAATTCATTAGTAATGAAAGGTTCACTCCGTCCTATGTGTAGAATTTTTAATGCAATTTTGAAATGAGATTCCCTGTTAAGGTCCTAATGCTTTTTCTCTGCAGTAGGGGTACAGTTGCTTTAGGCCTACCACCAGCTTGGGTGGATGTATCTGAGGAAATATCAGCTAATATACAACGTGTGAGGGGAAAGATGGCTGAGTTAGCGAAGGCTCATGCCAAAGCTCTAATGCCATCATTTGGGGACGGTAAAGAAGACCAACGTCGGATAGAAGCTCTTACGCAACAGATAACTGATCTTTTGAAAAAATCTGAAAGAGGATTACAACGATTCTCTTCTTCTGGGATCTCAGAGGATTCAAATATTAGAAAAAATGTTCAGGTACAATATGATATTCGTTTTTATTTTCTTTAATTAACAAAAAACAAAAAGAGTGTGAAATAAAAGAAGAAAGATGACCTTTGGATATGCTTGATCTTCCTTAAATCCTCTATGAGTAACTATTTCAAGTTGCCCCAACTTATGCTACTCTTGTTTGTGAATTGAGTGTATCTTTCAAAGTAATAGTGTCAGTTCGCCACGTTTATTCACTGGTGTCTGAATGATTGGGCTTAGCATCTTCTTTTGTCAGCGTTCTCTAGCCACTGACCTTCAGACCCTCTCAATGGAGCTACGAAAGAAACAATCTACATATTTGAAACGACTGCGGCAGCAGAAAGAGGTATTTTATTATAATGCAAAATGTTCCATCATGTTTAAATATTGTTGTATGTTATATTCAGGAGTAATTCCTGCTGTCACAGGGTTCCTGCTTTAATGATTGAGCAGCTGTTAGCCTGATAATGTCTTTGCTACTATACGTACATGTTGCTTGAAGCATAATATCCTTTCACTGTTTGTGTAGGGTCCAGATGGTATTGACTTGGAGATGAACTTAAATGGAAGTAGTTCTAAGAGGGAGGACGATGAATTTGATGACATGGTATGGGATCTTTCTGCTTTTGTGCATGGAATATATTCTTTGTACAATCTGTCATTCACATACCATATACTTGGGTCCAAAATGGCTCAAACTCAATTTTACTCCAAACTTTAACCCAATTCCTTTATTTCATAAACCAAAAGCTAAAAATAAATTAAGCCCAAAATAAGATTGTCCGACTCCGGCAAGTTCTGGCAATTATGTTTCCGGGATATTACAGTTCTGGACCAGAAGTCTTCATCCTGTTGACCTATCTGGAGTTCATCTCCGCAGTAGTAGATTGCTTGACATTGTGATAATGGAATCACAAATCTTTTGTTCAAACACCTTGCAAAAGTAAGGAAAATCATAAATAAGTAATCATAGAGGAAGTTTCTCCAATTATATATATATGATATATATTTCTATATGTGAGCCTAAGGTCTAACATACAACAAAGTGTTTCTGCTGATTAAAGTTTTCATAAGTAATTAGAAGAGGTTTTGATAAAGATATATAGAAGGTATTTCTAACATCCTGATGTGTTTGGCATGTTGGTTAGTGTTAGTGTAATCCGGATTGACCATACGCAGAGTTTGTTATTTGAACTGTTTAGGGTTTAGATCCCTAGATGGATCCATTAACAAGATCTACAATAGATGGTGTATCTTAGATAGCTGAAATTCACAGTTATAATGATCAAATAACTCCAGAGTTCGTTTCCTGGATTTCCATCATTATCTCAATTTATGTATTTCATAAACATAAACTGCAGCCCCATATCTTGTTTCCAATGCTAGTTTTCTGCTTATTTCACATTGAAAGAGCTAGAGATATTAAAATTTGCTCAATGGTTTGCCATAAGTGTATATATAATGTTGGCTGTATTGTATATATGCATTAGGGTTTTAACGATCATCAAATGGCCAAGTTAAAGAAAAGTGAGGCATTCACTGCTGAAAGGGAGAAGGAAATTCAACAGGTGAGCATGAAAATTTTCAGTTTCTTCATTTTTTAAAGCAGGGAAACAAGAATTTCATGTTTTTGCGATCTTCCTTGAAATAGGTTGTTGATTCAGTCAATGAACTTGCACAAATTATGAAAGACCTGTCAGTTTTAGTGATCGATCAGGTCAGGAACCAGACACCATCTTGTAATTCCTGGGTAGTTAATAGATCAAACCACAACTAAAACTAAATTCATGGTGCCAAGCAGGGAACTATTGTTGACAGGATAGATCACAATATAACAAATGTCGGAGCATCAGTTGAAGAGGGGTTAAAACAGCTTCAGAAGGTCGGTCCAGACACTCTATATAATCTGCAGCCTTGTGAATCTCTCGACTTTGATTTTTTTTTATTGTTCCCTGGTTTTTTATGTTTGAAAACAAATTATAATTAACATTCCATGCAGGCAGAGAGAAGTCAAAAACAAGGTGGCATGGTTATGTGTGCAACCGTTCTCATCATTATGTGCTTTGTTATGCTCGTTCTCCTAGTTTTGAAGACGATACTCTTCTGAGCTGTGTGTAGGGTCCTACGGTATCCAAATCTCTCCTTTGATCCCAACACTCCTCGTCAAGAACCCTCTTAACAAGCTACAATACACATGCTCAGAAGTTCCAATTTGTTTAAGGTATAGATCTGTCCTCTTCCTATAGAGTTTCTAAAGAGTGCTGGGGTATGTATGCATATATATACATACATACATACAAATACGTGGAACTCCATGGCACTGTAGATTGGTTCGGTCCGGGGCATTGTCTGTATAGTCTCCGGGGTAAGGCAAATATTGATTCATTTTTTCCTGGTAGAATTTTGTAGCTCCATCCATCCATACGTGCAATGCTCATCATCTAGTGCATAATTGCTGTTGTGTTTTTGTATGCAGAGGGATTTGGTTAACAGCTGCCGCTAGTGCATTTTGTTTGTCTTATTGTTATGGCGTATGATCGATATGGAATTTTATAAAACCCCACCCGCCCTTTGTGGATAGATACGCAGGTAGAGATTGGTACATTTTGATCCCAAAAATTGTTTTCAATCTGTTTTAAATTGTGAACAAAGTTGGGAGTGTGGCTTAAAATGAATGTTTTAATGAGGGATAAGTATAACAAAAATTATATTATTATAATAATTTTATAGTAAAAGAAACTAGAAAAATAATCTCGTAGGGAGCTCGTATATTTATCTTTTTATTTGTGTTTCAATTTATGGTAATTTCTCTTTTTTAGTGCAATATTCTCTATTTAGTTATTTCTATTGTTTATTTCTATTTATTATTAATTTTAGTTGTGAAATGTGTTTCAACATCGTTTAGTTGTAACATGTGTTGTTTGTCAATTAGCTATTAGTGGATTTGATTAACTGCTTAGATTGGGTGTGTTTCTTTTTATGGGTTTTGGAAAATTTTAGTTTGTATTTGTTTTGGAAGAAAAAAAAAATGTATTTTTTGAAAACTCAGAGTTCAAATAGTATAAATTTGAAGTTTGGGTGAGAAAGAAACACTTGTTAAGGTAAAACAATAGTTTGATAAGTTGTATATACTCTTTCTGTCCTACTCCAAATGAGTTTTTTTTTTTTTTTTTTTTGTTTTTGTTTTTTAAGTTTTATAGTAGATTAAGAAATAAAGCAATGAAAGTGTGTATGATGTTTTGACATTTTTGTCATTTTATTTTTTATTTTTTATTTTATAAAGTAATGGTATGTGTAATAATATGTTTGTAATTTAGTTAAAGCTTAAGGATATTTTGAAATCAATGTATAATTATTTTTACTAAAATAGTGGAAATGGTACTTAGGAGTTTGAAGAACGAAGATGGTGAAAAGGGTGTTTGAGTTGGGATGGAGGGAGAATGTGAATTGACAATAAAGATATTGTATAATTTTTTAGAATTTTTTTTATTAGTTATTCTAAATTGTTGAATTATTATAAAAATATTTATTTATTTTTATTTTTAGATATAGTGAGAAAAATAAAATTGTTTATTGAAAAATATATTTTTTTGAAAATGTGTAAAAAATAAAAGAATGAATCAGTAATATATATTTATTAGAGTAATTTATTATTTGACTATAATTCTCAATAAATTTATTTTATTTTATTTATTTTTAATATCAAATTTATATAATAAAATAATATAAATTAATAATATATATTTTTTTACTTTAGTTTTACTAAATTAATATATTTTACAAATAAAATAAAAAATATGTAAAAATAATATTTTTGATTATTTTAAATTTGTAAATGTAAAATTATAATTTAGCTAAAATAGAAATATATGAAAATAATTATTAATTAATACAATAGAAAATATATTAGTATATGTATAAAAGGGGTGATTAATGTTTATGACAAATAAAGACTAAACAAAATAAAAGTAAAAACACTATTGTGAGATTGGATAAGTTAATTTTTTAGAAATTAATTTTATTTTTAGGATTTCAAAACTTTTTCAAAAAATTAATATATTAAATATTAAAAGGACTTTTGATAATTAGTTAATAGCTTTTAGATTAGTTTATTCGATAAGTTGATTTGACTAGCTAAATATATTAATAGTTTATGTTAAAATACTAAAATAAATTAGTGTCTTATAAAATTAAAAATATTTTATATTTTATTTTAAAATATTTTGTTGCTTTTATTCAATATTGAAAACTATGCTTCTATTATTTTTATATTTTATTTTAAAATATTTTTGTTGCTTTTATTCCGTTTTGAAAACTATGCTTATGTTATTTTTAGATATTTTGTAATAGAATTATATATTTTTATTACAAAATATGAGTATTTTTTATTAAAAATAATACAAAATATAAAAGAACATATTTTTTAATACTTATTTTTATTATGTTAATTTTAATTTTATTTTTTCACTTAACTTACAATTTTAATTAATTTCTTCTAATATATTATTTTTAATAAGAAAATTAATGTAGTAAAAAATATATACAAATAAATTAATAATATTTTTTATTTTATCTCTATATTTATAAATTTAAATATTTTACAAATAAAAATAATTTATATAACATTAATTGTTTTAATTATTTTAAATTTATACAAATAAATTTATAATTTACTAGAAGAAGAAAATATAACAAAATAAATAATCTAATAAAAAATATATTAATATATATGAATGAAAGATTAATATTTAAGGATAAAGTATTAATAAATAAAATTAGAAGGAGAAAAATGTTTTGAAACGCTCGGATATAGTTTTTTGAAAATTATTTTTTTAATATCTTATAAATATTTTTAAAATTAATTTACAAAATAGTTATAATAACTTTTTGACTGATTAATTTAGTAAAAGTTAATTAAAATGTTGTTTTCCAAACATCTTCTAAAATTAGTTGTTTTTTACTGATAAAAGAGCTAAAGCTATTCAATAAACTAAAAATTCTTGAATAAGCTCTTTCGCAATCACTTTTCACGTCTTTTAAAGGTATCAGAGCTACACATCTATTGATTCTATGTGATGCTTTTGAGTTTTAAGTTCTTAATTTCATATATTAAAATACCGCTATATATATATTTGTGTTTCAAACTCATGCTTAAATAATTTGTATGTGGTATATATTTTTTTATTTTTTAAATATTATTTTAACTTCTTAAATTTAATTACATTATTTTTATTTTAAAAATTCTAAAAAATAAAATAAAATTCATTTGATATCTTTTCTTTTTATTCATTCCTTGAATGATATGATCATCATGAAGTCTTATGATCTGGTAATATTTTCAACCAGACCAATAGCTCGGAGCCGAGTCCAAAAGCTTCAAGTTGCTATCTGGAGTTTAGTCAAACATGCCATGGACTCAATTCTCGAAAAGATCGTTGAAGATGGACCTGCCAGATATTGCATCTGTTATGTGCCATACTCAAAGATCACTTAACCGAGTCATCCCAAGACCTCCATCTCAAGAATCGGGACTGGGAATCAATAATAATATCAATAATTATAAAAGGATTCTAAAGTTTCTATATTACTTTATAAATTAAGTTTCTTTTTGACACGGTTGGACCGTGTATAATTATGCCAAGAATAATTTCCTTAGCCACAAATTGATTTTTTATTTATTATTTTGAACAAAATCGACTAAGGATGACTCAAGTTGATGGAAAACTTGAGCACATGGCTCTTATACCATATGACATGGTCCGACCGTGTATAATTATACCCAAAGTATTTTTCTTATCCACAAAGTTAATAGATCCAATGGATTCAGAATATGAATGAAAGAAAAGAGAATGAAGAAGAAAAAATAGTGCGGAGAATGTGAATTAGTATGGATGATAACCAATCACGAGAATAAGTTTCAAACTTGAAATCAAACCATATGCTAAAATACAAACAATAGGCTAAATAAATCCCACTGCAAAGGATTGGAAGCCACAAACGGATGGAATCACTCCAATGACCCGATTTGAGACTCTAAATGCGAGGAAATCACTTCCTAATACTAGAAAATTATAAAAGTGAAATTTGATTCAAGATGTAAAAAACGTTCCCATTATGATGATAGACAAAGACCTTATATAGAGGTCCTTAAGGAAAATAAAAGGTAACAAATAATAAAGGCAATAAACCAAAATGTAAGTCTAACTATAAAGAAATAAATAATAATGAAAGTTATAGATATAGAATTATACTATATGAATCCTTATAAAGAAAAAAAGAAATCTATATTAAAGTAACTCCCAGAAGCTTTCATAAGTGATGATTCTCTTGATAGTTTCCCACAATTTGGAATTCTTTTGACAATCTTCCATAATTAGCGATTATCTTGATATTTCAATTCCGATTCTTGTGGGCCCCATTGAAGTAGTATCAGGTGAGTGCTAAGTTGTCTCCAAACATCATTTTGAAATTGATTCCCCATGAAGAAATCATCGGATCAACACAATGATGAATTCTTAAGACTGGCGAGCTTGGCTTCGAGTGATTGGTCCCACAGACATTTGACACTTTGAAGATTGGACGTCCGCGTCACTTTTATATTTATTTCTTTTTCACTAGCTTCCTTGTTTAGGGTGTTTCCTTATATTATGTTTCCTAATTCAGAGGGTCTTTTAAATTGTTTGTTTTATTTTCAATGTTTAATTTCTTTTACCCTTAAGGACCTCTATATAAAGGATTTTGTTTATCGTTGTAAAAACACACCACTTCTATATTGCTTATAAAGTTTCTTTGCTTTCAAGAGTGATTCTTTCTTTGATTGATTATTTGAGATTGTTCGATACAATCCTCGGTAGTCTATCAAAATCGGGTTGTTTTCGAATGATTCGAGACAAATCGTTGCCTCTTAATCGGTGTTGGATCGTTTGTCGCGTTAACTCCATTCCTTGATTGGTTTAGAGATTGTGTTGCATGTTGTATAGTTCTTACGTGGTGCCTATCCGACCAACCTTGTGGATCGAGAAACCAGATTATCCTCCTATCCATATTCTTCCATCTCTATTCTTCCATCAAATTATGCATATTTCTATTTTTTTTATTTCATGTGGTTTTTAAGTTTCTGAATCCTTGTTTACGTTCGCATCATCTGGTATCAGAGCTAGTTGATACAATCTTGTGGATGTTATCACGGTTTTGATTTGAAAAAAAAAAGAAAAAGAAAAAAAATCCGGAAGAAAAAGAAAAGAAAAGAAAAGAAAAAAATGGCAAAATTATCCATAACTCCCTTGTGGTTTCGAAATTCAGCGTAAATCCCCCATTTACTTTAAAAATTGTATAACGCTCCCTTATACTTTAAAAATATTGCATGAAACCCCTTTGAGGTTTCGAAACTCAGCGTAAATCTCCATTTTATTTTAAAAATTGCATGATACTCCCTCATACTTTAAAAAATGTTGCATGAAACCCCACGCTATGCAAAAAATACAGATATGAAATCACCTTCTCATCACAAGGGAGGTTTCA